ACAAATAATAAATCTATGTTTAATAAAAGACGTAGACGAGAAGAAAAAAATTTTAATGAATCCGATGTGTCGTATTTAAATCGCTACACGTTAATTAACATTCTAACTTATGTGGAGAGCTTTATAACACGCCATCTTGTTTATAAACGATCAGCTGGAGCTGAGGTCATAAAATAGGTCACGCACGTGTCTGCATATCAGTGATAGTCTTTTTCTCGAGTTGCAAGTACCGAATTGGGTACTTGCATTTCGAGAGGAAGATTTCCCATAACCACACATGTGGCCTATGATGGCAGCCCCCAACTAATCGTTATCACCAAAATGGTGTATTAAAGTTGAGCTAAGTTTCTCCACATGAGTAAGAATGTTAATTAACGATAAGTTAATTAAATACAGTGCCGTATCGCACATCGAATTCGTTGAAATATAAATCTTTCTCGTCCACTTCTTTTACTCCACTTAGATTTTTTTTTTTTTTAATACCTGGCAACTTTGATGCATAATTTGTTTGCTTATGTTCAACACGGCTTCGTGCCTATCTTTGTGTTAAGTGTCTGTGTAAATATATAGTGAAAGAATTGAAATCTTTCAGAATAAATCTTTGTGAAAGAATTTAGAATGCGTCACTTAAAAGAATTGTAATTGACCGGCTTGGCTTACTCGAAATAAAATTGAAAGAACAGTTGCTAACATAAACAAATGCAACGTTTCAATTAACATCGAAATACCCACACTACGTCACTTGTAGGTATCCCATTTCTCTTGGTCCAACTGCCTACAGAACCCTCCAGAAACACTTAAAAGGCCTGGTTTCTTAGGACAGGACGCCGTCAGCTGGAAATCAGCGCTAACCTCTGATTGGTCCATTTATGAGTTTGATAGTATACGTCATCGAAAGCTCATCTTGAACTACAATTGCCGTCCAACTCAACTGCAGTTGGATTACAACGTGACATTAACCACAGGAGCAATGGCGGACAACATCCAACAGCACATTGAAATCAGCCAAGATTTTGATTTTGGCATTAAACATAGCTTCTTCATTAAACATAGCACTCTTCATTTAGCTCAGCTATAATGTGTTTTTTCTTGGACAAAGTCATTATTTGTTCTCTAAAACACTGGTCGACAATAACAAAATCAATACAAATTCAAAATAAATATTTGTTTACGTTATTAACGCATGCGCAATGAGAGATAATGTCTGCGTTGGACCGACTGCTCACGCTGAGCTAACAAAAAAGTATTTTTTTGGCGTCAGATCTACGTCAACTTTCCGCTGACGCCCAGATAAGGCGCTAGTTCTAAGAAACCAGGCTTTGAGCTAACAAACCAGTATTTTGTTGGCGTAAGCGGGACGTTGACGTCCCGCTGACGCCCAGATAAGGCGCTTGTCCTAAGAAACCAGACCTTAACGGAGATGGTTAGTTGAATCAGAGTGGTTGTGAAAAATTTATTACGTAGTGTCTCTGACATAAATCAGTTTTTCACAACCACTCTGATCACTCTCAAACGTATTTATGTCTGTACGTTTATAATTGTTGCAGGGATGAATAATAATTCTCAGTGATTCATTATTTTGAATTTTTAAGCTTCATTTCAATGAAAATTATGGATTTAAGATTGGATTGCAAGAATTCATTTCAATGCTTCAATTTTTTTCTTCAAATTTAGCATTTATGTTGAAACATAAAATTTTTTAATCAACTCCAAAAGTTTTATTTTACATTTTAGTTAGTTACGTTAAAAATATTTCTGTCATATTTTTTTATTCAAGTCTATTATATAAAAAATTCTACTATAAACAGAGAATATAAAAAATATTTACATTACCAAGGCTTTACCACATTTATTCTTCTATAAGGTTAAAAGGATTAATTGTGCATGTCATCTATGTTAATACGTATTGTAATCAACATTGAAATAAATTTAAAAAGAATAAAAAAGTGGTGAGATACTGAAATAATTAAATTAAATAGGAATCTACTCAGCAAAAGGAATTTTTTCTTTATTAACAAACGATAACTTTAACGAAGCATCTAAGCATTTCATAGAACTAAAATAAAACAAATAACCAAACGATTATGATGAACTTTATCGATTCAATCAAACATAATAAGAGAAAACGATTTACTCATTACTGTATCAATTTAACTGATAGTTAAGATATTTGCCGTAGCATGGCGCTAAAACTGTTTAGACTACGCGCATCGATAAAAATAAACTGGTCGCCTTTTTACATGCTCTAACATGAGAGTGGAAATTCTTCATGCATTTCTTCGTAGATTTACATTAAACGTTTTCATTATAATGCTAGAAAATGTGTAAAAGCGAAGCAAATTTTTTCTAAGTGTGGCAAAATAGAATTTCTCACCCAACTGAGTTCAACGAGACGATACGGTTAAAGTTTAAAAACTAGTAAGAATAGATGTTAAACGTTTACTTTTGTTATTTTTAATGGAAATTATGAAGCTATCTGTTTGTAAATCCTTTAGTTATTTCCTTTAATTTAATTCTAAAAACGCTTGCTTTGGACTAATATGCTTTTAGTTCAATATAATGCTGTACTAAAATTATTTTTTAAATAAAAATAATTATCCTACTTTAGTAGTTTCAAGATCTGAATTAACTTTATGATTTTGGTTATCTAATGATACTCAACACTTTTTTAATTACGTAATATTTTTAAACAATAACGAAGAAAACAATGCATTGAGTAAATCACATTTTATTTTCGTATTGTAAAAAACATTTTACAATTATTTTGAAACCAAACAAAATGACAATGTAAGGAATTTTAAAACATTTTTGTTGACAAAAATTAAATTTTTTAAGCCATCATTACACTGAATTCCAAACTCAGGTTAATTTTCTATAAAAGGCACTAAATTGCTCTTTTCTTGCTAAGTTAAAGGCACTTTTAGCTACCACATTTTCTGGATTTGAAAAGTAAATTATCGCCTTTAATCAACAATTTTATAAAGATTAAGAATATATTAGCTTATTATAAATAACATTTATAAATTTAAATAAAATGAAAAGTCATAAATTAAAAACAAAAAGTATTGATTTATTATAACAAAATTATTTGAAACTATTCGCTTTCATAACATTTTCCCATTTATAATATACACATTCATTAAGTTCGAATATTTTCATAGATATTCTTATTGTAAAAAATATATATCCTATGTAAAATCGTAATGGTAAATAAATAGGTAAAACATAAAGTTTTTTATTACTTGATGCTATAAAAATATCAACAAATTATAAAGACATATCATCAAAGCAACCCAAGGAAAATGGCATTCTGGGGATTTCACTAAAATGAACAAAAATTTATATATATGAACATTTGATTGTTTGTTTACTAAAACCAATTGTATGCTAAAACCAACTATTGATTGTTTGTTTACTGAAATGTTTGGATCAATAATAAAAAAAGTTAGTTAAAAGAGCAGATAAATTAAGGTTACGGTGATTTGAATATCTGTCAAATATTTTTTATTAACTCTTTTTATATTTTAATTTTATAATTATTTTGATGGAAAGCTAAGATATCAGCACTAGTAGCTCTGATATGTAACCTTTTTAAAATAGTAGATTGTTTCTCTCCCAAAATTTATGTACAAGGTATTGCTATATTCAGGGTGTTTCGTAATACCCACCTATAATGCATATTTATAGAACCTTCTTATAAAAATAGAAAAGGACAGAAAATTGGATAAAAAATATTATTTAAGGCATTCGAACTCTGATTAGTGGTTGAAGTAGAGGAGGGAAAAGGAGGTAATAAAATCATTAAAAACTAGACTATTAGTCTTGCTTTCGCGTTTCACAAGAAACCACATCCTCAAACCAACTGTTTTAAATTATGATTTTTTTTCCTTAAATGTTTTTTTCCTAATTATCAAAGTTTTTTTATATCAGTTTTGCAACAATTCTAATATATATATATTAAAAACAACCATTACAGAACATTCTATGCATATGTATGAAGCAATGCATATAATATCTTTGTTTTGTTAAAAATCAAAAAAAAAATTTACATTGTAATTTTACACCAATTTTTTTACGTTTTTGATAAGTATCTTCAACAGCTCTTTATTGAATAAGAAATTGAGACTCTATTTTGGAAACATTCTCAGGTTGATTCTTTTTCTAGATTCAATTTTTATCTGTTTCCAAGAGTTGTTGGAATTTAAAGTAATTGTCCACGAGATTGTTATAACAGCAAAGAGTTCTTTTGAGAAAATGTCTTTCTTTAGGAGAATCAAACCAACACCATTTAATTAAAATTGATCGTTTGCAAAAAAAATTCTTCAAATTGAAACTTTTTATCTAGAATTCATCTTCATGCAGTTTTTATAAATATGTTTAATTGTTTTGAATGAACCGAAATGCATTTCCTTTCATCAACATATTAACCTGCATAATTATTTTATTTCTTTAAAGGCACCTTTGGGTCTAAACAACATCTTTTGGATGATGAAAAAACTGCATAGACACAATCAAACTTTCTTGCATTGTACTTAATACCACCACAAAATATTTCTTTGCTTCCAGTTTAAACTGAAAGATGTTCTTACAGGATGTCTCAGAAAGAACCGACGATTTGAAAAAAAATTTAAGAAAAACTGAATGAAATAGAAACATATATTTCACTTCGTTCTGTTTGAAGAATTGGTATTTTTTTTTCTCCATATTTAAAAATTAGTTGCAAAGTCTAAAAACAGATGGTGCTGCTGACAACTAGACCTATCATGTAGCTGGCAAAGACGTCTGCATGTCGAACAAAATTATTTGCTCCGGGGTCTGTTAGTTTTGCCCTCAACTTTGAAAGCATTTGCTCAGTAAGCAATGCTTTCAAAGCAGTTAGCTATGATTTTCACAGTTAGCAATGCTTTCAAAGCAGTTAGCAATACTTTTCTCAGTTAGCAATACTTTTTGTTCAGTTACCGTCATTTTTTGTTCAGTTTATGTCATCTTTTTAACGAATGTTGCAATTAATTTTGAATCTTCGTGCGAACAAAGCGTTAGTTTATTCACACAAGTTATTCACAAAAATTACAGCAAGACGCATGAAATCGTACATTTTTATTCCATTCAGTTTTGTTTTGTTTTTAATCATCAGTCATTTTTGTGACATTCGTCAATAATCGGAACACAATACCATGATTACATTCTTTGTAAAGTTTCCTATTATTGGAGCCATCTGTGCGACCCTCTTTGGGAACATTTTGTTCCTGTCACAAACAAGAACTGAGATTAACTCTATATGTGTGAATTAACTCTATAATTTAAGGATCAAACAAGGCATGTCTATCCCTTATAGCTCTAGCGATCTCCCGATGAATCATGCCATCTATACTGCTTCCAAGTTGGGAAGCTGGTCTGGCCTGTAATTGAGTTTGGTGCTGTTTGTTCCATAGTTTGTTGCTCCCTGGGTACTTTACTGAAGAGATAGTGTGATTGTTGGCAACTGTTGTAAGATTTCCAGTGCTGTGACTGTTGTTTCTTGATTTCTCGTTTCCCGACAGAGCTCTAGGCAAGAAAGATTTTCCTCTCTCTTTGCTTCTGTCTCTAGAAGAAGAGGACGAACGCTTCTTGGTTGATTTCTTTTGGCTCTTTGGGGTTGCGGGTCGCTGAGGCAGGGGTGGAGGAATGTTTTGTACACCTAAGATGTCCACGCATTTGATTCGGTTCTGACCTGGCTGCAATATTACTGTGCCTGGAGGTATTTCTAAATGAGATAAAACAAATTTAGTTACATGCACTTACAGTATTAAACTTAGTATAACATGTGTTATGTTATTCCGTAAGAAGCATACAGGGAGCTCCTAAATAACTGTTCTTTTTTATGTTTTTTTATGTACAAAAAATGGCTTGTTTCTTGTCAAATAATACCACTAAATATTACACCACTTTAGTCAATAGATACCACTAAATTATGAAAGACAGAACAAAGATATTAAACCCGTCATCTCTACACTTCGGATTGTTTGGCGGAAAAAAAATACCTTTTTACCATGGAGGTCTCAGAAATTTTGGCAGCTTTAATTACAACAATGTGCGGTACTGCTGTTCCGCACATTGTTGTAGTTAACACATTCTGGATATGATGTAATCGAATAATAAATCCCACTATAGAATAGAATAAATAAATCCCACTATATGTTACTCTAAAGTAAGAACTGCTCTAGCCATTCATCTGGACCCGTGGCGGTGACTATGGTAACGAGGTACAACTATTTCAAGCAGGGGTGTGGGGTCATTGTTCAGGACAGGTTTTGGCACGGGTCGTCGAGAAAAAGGGAATCTTTTTCTTCGATGTACTGTGTTAACTTTAGAGTGAAGAGAAGCTACCCTCCATGAAATGCGCTATTCTTGTTTCCATAGCAGCAGACGGCCTCAGACTTAGTGACGGGGGGAGTTCTTACCGTAGACAAACATACCTCCATAAACGATATGTAAAATAAGCACTGTAGCTTAAACACTTGGAAGATTCATTTATGCTGATCTTTTCTCTCTGTCACAATTGAGAAATATATTACAAAGATAAAGATGAATAATTAATTGTCACTTTACTCCTACTAACCATTCAAAGAAACTGCCCTTTTAAATTATCCATGGAAGATTGAAAGATACTTGGTAAAAGGCATAGACATTAAGATGTTAAAGTTTCCAAATAAAAGAATAACAATTCTGAAGAATATTTTCGTAATTTTTTCGACGTGATTCTTTAGAGAAAGCGTGAGAATCATTTTTTCTGTTAAATTTGTTTAGTTTTGTACTTTAAAATCAGAGCAGTCGAAACAGTTTTATTCGTTTTCATGTTAAATCTTTCAAGTTTTGTCTTTTTACTAAGTGTGTAAACTTTTCCATCATGCTCAAACTGCAACATCCCCTGCCGGAGTGCATCCTGTATCACCTAAACATTACTGTCGAGGATCGATTTCTAAAAACATCAATAGTGTCCTCAAAGTTAATGGAACATTTGCACAATTTCAAAGATCTGGTTTAGAGCTCATCTAACCCCTGGGGATAACTACCACTACCACTTAATACATGGCAAATAAGAATTATAATTTTTAAAATCATTATTAATGATAAACCATTTATCACGATAGGTAAAACTACCAAAAAAATAATTTAAGTGCCGTAAAGTTTGGTTTAATTACCGAAATTCATTGAAATCTCTTTACAAGTATGGAAATTTTGCCAGATTTGTAATAGCTATATGAAACCATGACTCTCTTACCTTTGCCAAATTTTCCCAGTTTCCCGAAGCAATTAATTATTATAACATTTGCGTTAACATTTCTAACAGAAATTTTACTAATTAATTATAGAATGATTACAATATCCAGACGTCATAAAATAAATACTTGAACCTATTATTTTCTTTAGTAAAAAATTAAATTTTTAAAATCTCGTTCTATGAAATCAATATAAATGCTCTACTTTTAACATTTTCTGAAAACTCATTTACAATTTCTTCATAATTTACATAAACCAGTCGCATTTAGTCAATCGTTATCATTCTCTGATTTAACTAATAGTTACCATTAGATGTTTAGAATACTGTTCTGAAGTAAATGCTAAAACATCTTGTAAATGACAGAGAGTAAATATTTGTTGACATTAAATCATTCGTTAATAAGGTTCCAGGTGTATGCCAATTATTAAACAAGTATTCCTAGTTATTGAATCAACAAATATTTACCTGGCTTTTGAAATAAATGCAAAATAATTGAAACTTATATTTACACTTGTATTCTAAAAGGGGCAGGCATAATTTAAATACTAATGGAGAAATACTGTCTTCAATATCTAAATGTTCTATAAGTTGTCGTTTCGCTAAATGCTATATAGGAAATCTATATAGGATAGTGCTTTCCAAATAGCATAGAAATAATTAGCCATTAATATCGAGAATTGGTATTTTGTATTATAATAATTGTTTTAAAATACGAAATCAAACGTGAGGTATTTAAAAAATAATAATAAATCAGGATATTTTTAATTTTTTGCTCTTGTTCTTTCTCTTATTGGTAACGTATTAAGGTGGATTCTTTTTTACTAGAACGTGAAAAATTCGAAGTAACATTAATTCCCTGAGAATTTTATATTTTTACATTCGTTAAAATTCCAGCTTTAATTCAAATTTTCCACTATTATTTTTCTAGTTAGAAGTCAAATCTAGAGGAAGTCAAAACGTTTTACTATCTATATAGTTTTAAACTTATTAAAAGCTTTTAAATGATCTGATGTGCAAATTCAAGTATAGCTTTAAAAATGATTCAACATTTGAATCTAAAACTAACGTTGAAGATAAAAATTATTTTATTTTATGGATGGTATCGAACATTTTGCAAATAACGTAAAATTAACCAATTTAAACAAACAATTATCAAAATAAATAACGAGGATGTCAACAATAGCAAAGACAGCTTGATGAATGTCTGAAATATTTGATCCGATTTGATATTAATCATCGGTATTTTAATATTTATTCGATGCTTTAATATTCGATTAAGATAGACTAGGAAAACCATCAGTTTTGGAAATACTGGCCAAGCGTATACCGGATACTGGCATTTAGTTATTATTCATTTTGTTGCGTAGTCTTAGGCAATGATTTAAGGGTTAAAAAATTTACCATGCTTTAAATAATTTCAGTTGCGTATAATAGTTAGTTATACGTATATTTATTTAGAATAGTATTCTATTTTTAGAGACATAAAAACTTAATTAAAAAAGTAGTTATTTAAATTTATTTTGGATCCTTTCTATAAAATGGCAGTAGAAATTTTAAATATAAACGGTGCTATGATGCCGCTACTGTCATACCAATTATTGAGGACTGAGCTTGCCAATGGCTTGTGTATTAAACAATACTGAAGCTATGACTCCAGAGGTGCGTGAGGAAGTAGTACAGAGCGTAATAGAATATTGGGATGAGTTGTCTATCTTATCTCATGACAGAGATGACTTCTGCAGCCTATCAGGCTGAAATGTTGTAGTTATGGTGATTTGCAGATTTAATGGAGGATTTTAAATGATTACTAAAATTCAATACATAAAGAATGGTGGCAATATTTCGGACATCTGTTGAAAATTGTTAAAATTCTAAAAGGATACTCGGCTAGTCTGTCAAAGTAGGCTAGTTCTATAATAACGTATGGAAAAGTACACAAACTTTTAAATTGTTTTTAATATTTTTGTTATGAAAAACATAAATACAGAATTTTAGCATAGACTTAAATCATTTGCAATACAAAGCTAAATACGATTACCAGTTACTCCTCCACTAGACCGGGATCTCCTGCATGCTGTCCCTTCCGAGAACCTGACACGCACGCTACTGTGCCGTTTTTCCATTCTAATTCCTGGGACATCCGGATAGTGCCAGTCGTTGGCATCCAGCTCTGAATCGAGTGCTGAATTGCTGCTGATTCCAGAATCGGAGAGTTTGGGATGATTGGGTGGCAGAGGAGGTGGGGTGTCTGGTATCCTGAAATCTGCCCCGTTTTCAGGATTCAGTATAGATCCGGCTGGAATGGTGGGAATATCTATGAGTATCTCATCCAGTTCAGAATCGTGGTGAGTGGGCTCCATAGATGGTATTGTCTTGTAACGGGAATTTGGTGGGGCCGGTCGACCAGACTCTTCATCAGAGGAAGACGATGACGTGGCCATTACCCGAGACTGAGAAATGATAATATATGTATATATATATCGTGTATTTCTTTAAATTTCTACTGTTGAATAATAGTTAAAATTGATACTTTTATTATTGCGCCACATACAGAGTATCCTAGAAATTTTAATCAAGAAATAACGTCAAATGGAGAAAGAAATGATATTATAATTGTTGGCTAATATTTTTTTTAAAAAATATTCAAAATAATAAAGCAAAGTTTACAGTTTTTAAAATGTATAAACGAAAAAATGAGTGAGTGTAAATATTGCCCAAACGTTTTTAACTTTTGAATTTATTCCTTTTGAATTTAATTGCTTTTGAATTTGTAACTTTTGAATTTATTCCTTTTGAATTTAATTGCTTTTGAATTTGTAACTTTTGAATTTATTCCTTTTGAATTTAATTGCTTTTGAATTTGTAACTTTTGAATTTATTCCTTTTGAATTTAATTGCTTTTGAATTTGTAACTTTTGAATTTATTCCTTTTGAATTTAATTGCTTTTGAATTTGTAACTTTTGAATTTATTCCTTTTGAATTTAATTGCTTTTGAATTTGTAACTTTTGAATTTATTACTAATAATAATTAGTAAATGAGGAAGATAATGGCATTTAAGATTTAAAAAATAGTACTTTTCAAAATGATTACAGAACATGTTTGCATACTACTAGGTGAGAAGTTCACCAACACTCAATTAATTTCAATATTATTTCCATTAGCAAAATTTTTTACACAGTTAATGTATTGCTATTATATAAGATTATTTGTTGCATAACAATTATTTATTTATTTCTACTGTGTACGATTTTTTCCACATAAACTCTTTACATAGCTAATTTACAACTATGATGCAAGAGTATTTTCAGCAGAACTTTTTTACATAGTTTAATTTTAATTATTCTCTAACATTTGCTACGTAACTAACTCCTTTACACAATTTATTTACAACTATTTTGTAACATAATTTGCATGTAACATTATATGTAGCATAATTCCTTTACACAATTTATTTATAACTTTTATGTTAGATTATTTGTTACATTCTTAGATCCCTTTTCTCTAATATGTAGTATTATTAGCTAAATAATTGATTAAGTGTTGTAGTATAGTTAAGTACCTATTAAATGTTGCAGAAATATTTTCAGTTTTCGTTTATCGTAATAGTAAATGAAAACAGAATATGCTGTGCCAGCTACATGATCTATACCGGGTTACCATTATAGTATTTGGAGTGGATTTTGTTTACTATTCTCTCATTCTCCTATTTCCTTCTAAATTTCTTCTTCATAGGTGTAATTAGAATTTTTTTTATTTCGTCAGTTTTTTTTATTAATTTGAAACTAATTTGCTTAATGTATTATGCGTGTTTAGCGTATACGTTGTAGTTTCTAATGACATTTGGGCAAGACAAGCACACCAACCATTAGTCTTTTTTCAAATTAAGTCAGGAAGGTGCGTCTTTCAGTTGACATGAGAGCACCACAAAGATGAAAGTACCTTTTGGGTCGGAACCCAACGGATAGATGGCAGCACCACTCATCCGGGAGGCCACTTTATCATTTTAGAATTGAGAAAGCTAACTAAATACTAACTCAACTCATTAAATTGAGAACATTCATCAATTTAGTTAGTCGAGGATCGAATCCCGATCACTCAGGATTCAGGACCATCGGGGTTCTCTAACCACTCGGCTAACACGGTTCACGTTTAACGTTTTGTTTAACGTTTTACTCATTCGTTAAAGATTATCCAATTCAAATATATTCAATGTTAAAAAGTAAATAAATAAAGCTTAAACAAAGCTATGTTTTTAATTCTTTTGAGAGAATATTATAAAAAGAAATTTGTGTTTTAAAAATAATTTGAGGAAAACAATTTTACGTCGATTTCTTTAAAGTCTGATTTTCGGTTTTCTTTGTTATTATCTTGTCCTTAATCTTATTTTATCTCCGTGTTACAATATTTTCTGGATATTAACACAATTTTTTGCTCATCAAACTGACATTACTAGTTCACGCTTTATACTACTGATATAGAACATAGCTTTTTTGACAGGGCTAACCAGGTTGATTGTTTGCGAAAACGCTATATACGAAACATTACATTTTGTGTAAGCTCTTAATTCTAAATAAATAAATAATTTGTCTATGCGCATAAAAAAGGCAAAATGTATATTTTAAAATCATTTAATTATAAATGACTTTCAAAAACCTCTTTTCTGTTTCTAACTCGATTATTACAATGTTAAAAAATATGAAAAGAAATATATTAAAAATATTTTCTCCTTCAATCTGATAAAAAAAATTTATAATTTTGTTTATCATTTTATCTTTTTTTATAATTTTTAAAGAAGTAATGAAAAACAATGTAATTTTTTGTCTTTGATTCATTACCTTTAAAGCCAAATCTTGCAGTCTTTGCTCCACATTGTTCCACTGACCTTTAAGCTAAAAGAAACGAAGAAAACTGAATTAATAGGATGTTTTCTCTGCTTGTAGCGAAAAAATTTAATCTGGTTAAAAGTTTTTCCAGAAGTAATTTTCAAAAGCAGTTTTTTCTTCCTTGCAAGCAGCGTAAAATAATTTGATTAAAATGGAATGTGTTTAAATAATTGAGGGGGAAGCATTTTTTAAAGCAAAATGCAAATTTTTTAGGGATTTTTTTTTAATATAAAACAAAAGTAATAATAATAAGTAAAAACTAAATCAGCAATTAAAACTGTATCTATAATTAAGTAAATATTAAAATTTGATTAAAATACTTATTTACGAACAGATCTAAAAAAATCAAACTTAATGTTTTGGAAAATAATTAAAAATATTTAATGTAACTGAAAACAACCGAAGTATTAAATCCGATTCTCGAAAAAAAATCACTAGGGATTTTTTTTCAGAAAAATTTCTTCGAGTATGTATTTTATTAAAAGTTTTAATTAAGAATCGAACAAAAAAAATTAGGCAAGACTTTTTTTTTAGTATTTCAAAAATAGATTAAATCACTTTGACGGAATCAAAATAAGTCATTTTTGCAAGTATAAATGACGGGCATTGTAGCACAGATTCCTCATTAGCCAAAAAATTTAAGATTTAAAATATTTTCAGTTTTAAATATGCTAAAACAGATATCAATTTAACTTCTGAAACAAAAGTTTAATCGAAATCAGTTGAATATTTCTTCGAGAATAACCGATTTCAAAATTAAACTTCTTTTAAAATATCAAGTTTTATTTAACTATTTTTAACTATGTTTACAAAGTTTTTTAAGTTTTGCATTTGACCAAAAATACCAATAATAGTTTTTTTAACGTTAATTCTTCTGATTCTTTATTATTTTCAGTTCTTTCATTATTTTAAACATATATTCAGTTTCTCACATAACTTCCCTTTAATCATTTATTCTTTAGTTTAACAAAAAATCCTAAAATTTACCTGTTTGTGTATGCTAATAATCCCTTTACGTTCATCTCGAAGTCTCTAAAAAGATAAGAAGTATTTCAGTCAATTAAAAAATAAACTGTTGCTAAAATCGACAAATTAACAAATGCTGTACTTTCAACGTAAGAAGATGATTAACATTCGGAGAGTTAATTTCGACGAGAGACTGCTATTGTGCTGAAAAATTTTCCCTGGTATAAAGCGTTTTATTTGGTGCCAAATTTCCAGCCAGTTAATTTTAAAATAAATTTTCAAATACTAGGCATTATTTACCGTGTTTTTGAATTCTGAAAAAATGCTTTCATGTTCAACTCAAGAGCCGCGTTGTCTCAGGAGACTACCATATGAGGGGACCCAGGTTTGAATTTCAGCGATGACTACCAGATGCGAATCTTTCTCCCGGTTAGCACAACTACAGTTCTGACATAAAGTATCCATAATTAGTGCGATACATATTTACTTTGTATCTTTTATAAAGAAGACTTGTTCCCATAGAGGAAAAATCCGTTGTAGCCACTTATTTACTTTGCAGCTTTTACAAAAAAAACTTACTTTTGTATCGTTAAAAACCATTCAGACTAAGTGTTTCCGTCGTAGTTTTTACGGAATAAACTTACTCTTGTTTGATTTTAAAAAAAAAGAAACTTTGAGTTTACAGATTTGCTTCTAAATTTTACGGTTTCGCCCCAGCAATCCAGCTACCAGTTTCAAAGTGTTAATCTCACGGAAAAAATTTTTTAAAATTCTATAACTACTTAAATCTAAAAATTAATATGATACATATTTAGAGTCATCAATTCAAATATTGGATTAATTTAAATTAACAAACAAATGAATTTAATTTAACGAACAAATGAATTTATTTCAACAGTACAAACTTATAAAAGTTACACAAATGTCGACTTTTTTTGAAATTTCTTCTTCAATAAATTCTGAAAATTCAATTTAATTTCAGGTTATCTCTTTAGCTTTAATTGTCACAATATATTTAAATAAATAATCATAATCATCTTCGATCCACAAATTACAATGAAAACATATCATAAAACTTACTTTCAAAGCCTCCTTCAAAAGTTGTACCTAAAAAAAAGTATAACAGTTTAATTAATGATCAAATCCATTTTTCAAACAGTTATTTCTCCAGTAAACACATTGAAAGTAAACTATGAAATAGTATTTATTTCAATTAATAGATTGTAAGAAATAGAATGATTTGATTAATAACCAATTGCGCTTGAAAGAACCGATGATTTAATTTATGGCAATTATCCAAAAAGGGGACGGAATAAAATATGCCATTTAGGACAAAAAGGAGCAAAAGATTTAAAGTCCCTGTGGAGGCATTTCAAAGTAAATTATATTTTTTGTTTGCATTTCAGTTTCAATTGGAAAGTAAAACAATGCAAAATGAAAGTGAAGGTGGTATGCAAAAATAAAACTCATTTATCTAAAACTAATTCTTTGAACTGAAGTGAAATGCATGCTATTTTGAAAACGGTTCTTACGTAAAAAGAATTCTAATGATTTGCATACGAATAGACTTGAGTTTTCACGTTTCCTTAAAAAATTGAATAAAGGAAATAAAATACATTGTTCCTGTCTTTGATAGTGGAAAATGCGGATTATTTAAAATCGCGCCTGGTCTTTTGTAGTTTATAGATAGGGCATACAAATAGAAAAAATAATTGAAAACTTAGAACTCATTATGATACACAGATATCAATTAGCTATGCAATGATGAAAATGATAAAAACCAAGGAAAATTTATAAACTAAATGCTGATTTTTTTCAATCGAATAGGGAATAAAAACTGTGGATAATAAAATAAAATAAAAAAAGAGAGTGGATTTAAAAACATTATTATATTTATAAATATAATTATTAAAGTCAGGACAACATAAATAATGTTGAAAGAAAATGAAATTTTATTGTGGAATATAAAGGGATATTTCAAAATGGCAGAATGAATTTATTTATGTAACACATAATTATGATTTGTATAATGTATTATTGATAAAATCGTCATGAAAACTTTATCATCGCTTATGAGTGCAGGCTTAGTATACTAGCATTAAATAGGTTAGTATGCTAGCATTGGATAGGTTAGTATACTAGCATTATGTAGGTAGGTATGCTAGCAGTAGATAGATTAGTAAAGTAGCATTAGATAGGTTAGTATACTAGCATTAGATTAGGTTAGTATACTAGCATTTGATAAGTTAGTATACTAGCATTAGATCGGTTAGTATACTAGCATTAGATAGGTTGATACATTAGCATTAGATAGGTTAGTATACTAGAATTAAATAGGTTCGTACCTAATATGATGTTTAAATTGTTAACTGAGAAAAAAAACCGTTTATTGACTGCTTTCATCTAATACATTTAAGCAACCAGAATTTTATCGCACCAAATAGAACTATCTAATAAAGCCACTTCGTTTTTTTGCAGATACTACATATTACAACTCTAAGGGCTATTCTGTCAGTCTCATAACCGACAGAATAGGGGTTCGTATCCCAGCGTTGACACACCGATATTTTCTCCATTCTCCTCATGAAGAGTTTCCAGCGTTCTAGACTCCCCAATTTGTGAAGCTGGACTGTTAGAATACGATCCTCCCATTCGCTCATGGATAGCAGCTTCATAAGACGGCTTCATACAAAAAAGGCTAGCATTTTTACGCTAGTTGGAATTGGTTAAAAACCATATAGTTTTGTATTCATGGTTTTATTCATGGTTATAACCATACTTGTTATAAACGGTTACAAAACCATAAAGATAAAAAATGTTCTTCACTGTAAATTTTACGGTTAATTGAATGGGGAGACTACTGCGGTTATTTTACCGAACTTTTAAAATCAAAAGTCTAGCCATATAGTATCGGAGAATTAAATGTTTATTTTTTTCGTCGACCAGCAACAAAGATATAACAAATTTCATATCTTATCTACGCATCCTTAACTGAAAATCTCGTTTTCTAAGCCTTGGTCTCTTTAACTAAAATCCGCAAGATTTACTGTCGAACAGCGCCAAGAAGTTGGGTTCCAGTTTCTGTCCATGATCGATAGAGTTTTAGATGACAAAGAAAATGCTAATTATCCTTTAAAAGGAGATTTTTATAGTCCTTTAATGGATTTCTCAACTTCTCACACACTTGATTAATCTTTTCCAATATCGATATTCTTAAGTAAGCTGTTTTTAAAAGGTATTTAAGCTAGCTTGTTACGTAGCTAGCAGAAAAAAAATTCCAAACCAAATTTGAGAACAAAAATTCAATCTGCGAAATATACCGTTGACAGGAGTTTTAATTTAAATATAATGAAATAAGTTGAGTTAAATTTATGTCGCAGAAAAGTTATCAAATTTTTTTTTCAGCTGTTTCATAGTTTCTATCAACTACATATTTAGTAAACACTTAGTGAATTATGAGATTTAATCTCCTCATTTAAATATTAATTTAAACTTAAAATGAGATGCCATTAATTAGCGCTATTAGTTAAACTTATGATAACTACTTATCTGTTATTTGGAAATCAGGAAAAACTTACGACGCCAAATTGATCGCAGTGTTCAAAAATATTAAAAAGAGAGACACTTACTACTAAACTTGAACTTGTTAATAAAATACTTCAAAGAATTCAACTTTTGAAGGCTCTGTTTTATGTGTTTCCATGCGTTTCCTTTCATTAGTGTTGTTTCAATTCAATTAAATGATATAAAATTTAAAATCTACCAAGAACAAAAAAATAACCGGCTGACATGGATAATTTTCGCCAACCTTTAACAGGTACCAAGCTAATGATCAGGCATCTTAAAGCAAAATTATTTATGACTTTAATTAATAGTTGAAACAAAAATTCTGTTCAAACAAAGAAACCCACTAATACTAAAATATAATATAATTCCTACTGTTTTCCTTTGTAAATAATACTACAGTTTCGTCAAAAATTCTTAATAAAAGTAAATTTTCTACTTGAATAAATAAGTATCAATAAAAATCCATTTTTCTCTACATAAAATCAGATATAAATTCCCCAAATGCAAAGAATTAAACTATAATATAATTAATACATCAAAATTCTGATTTAATTAATGATTATAAACTCCGATACGGCAAATAAGATACGCTCAATAGTTGGTAAAGCTTTGCCTGCTACTAGAGTCTCGCGTGCAGGATAATTAATCTGCGATGATAATTATTGCATGATTAATTCAAACCCAAAATAATGAATGTCAGTCGGGTTCAAGAAACATGCTTGTCAAATGCGTGTTTGAATGAATAATATTTTCAGAAAATTTCCACGCAAATGGCAACAGCCAGAATCTCGTATAAAACGAGAAAATAAGATTTCGACGAGAAATTGAATTAATTTATACGAATCGCGGCAGATTCTTAATTCAATGTTCTGATCGAATTAAAACGCTTTCTTCGTTCGAGAACTAAGAACGACATATTCTGTGGGTTTATTTGCATATTCAAAACAGCGTGAAATCTTTTAAGAAAGGAACGTTTGTAGGTGAGTGGCTAAGCAAGAATTACATTTGAGACAATTTAAATTATTTTAATCTCGACGGATGTTGGGAATTAAGTATGGCTTTAATTCAATTCCTAGTTAAAGTTAATAGCCTGAAAATTCTATAATTAAAAATCCATTTTTTAAAAAAAAAAACAAAAATGAATTTTGTGAAGTAATTTATAAAGTTTCTAATCAAGTTGTATTTCAATTAATTATTTAATTTTACTGCAGTGTGTAAATTATTATTAAATTAAAATAATTATTTTCATAGCCTAGCGATAGATGTTGTGGTAGAATTTCTATCTATTTAGATGATGTAGTTAGATTTCTAAAACTTCTCTTTTTCTTCTAAAATAATTATTATATTGTAATTGTTTTTCTAAGTATAGATTAAAAAGGTTGTTATATGCTCTATGGTGAGTAAGAGAAATCTTAACGGTTAAAAATATGTAAACAGTATTTACCGAAAAAGTTTTTTCTTCTAAATAAATCCAAAATAAAAATCAGAAACCTTGAATAACTTTTGATCTAATGATCGGATCTTCACGTTCTAGGACTCATTCTTTATGGTTTGAGGGGATGACCTCAAATATGCTAATTTATTAGTGTAGACTATATTTTAAGTTATCAGATACAAAAATGTACTTTTTCTGAATAGACATACCTTGTTTTGACGGATTCGGGTTTCTGACCCCCAAAATATAGGGAATAGCCGCAATCTGAGAAATATGGTTACAATAGTTTAAACAGGAGAGCACTCCAAAGTTTGGAACCCTTAATGTTAATTTGACTTTTTACGTATTTCGTATTCGTTCGTAATTTTAAAATTCGCTTATTCAAACATAATTTCTCGCCAAAATTTTTTCCGTCATTTTAAAGAATACAATTTTACATAGCAAAATACAAACTTTAAGCAAAATCGGTCAAATAGTTCCTGAGAAATTGAATTTTAAACATCTGACTTTTTAATGATATTTAATTTCTTCAAATTTTATCCGATTTGCCATAAAATTTAACAGCGTGAATTTTAAAGATGTAGTCTCCAATGAAAGTTTTATTAAATAATCAATATTTTTATTAAATAATCAATAAAAACTGTATCATTTACTTTTTCGAGGGGACTGTCACGTATTACGCACCAGCAGGAAACATCTCAATCATTGTGAAAAGATAAAACTGTTAAGCATTCTATTTATTTAGCAGTTAATTTGTATATGGGATAATAATAGTTTGATTTACTTAATTCACCACTACTCAGCTCAAAAAAAAAACTAAATAGTTACACTTTGGACAAACATTGATTAGATATGTGAATAGGCTAACATTGTTTAAAGTAAAAGCAAAATAAGGCTGTCAAATTAACGATGCCTACATTTAAGCTACTACTTTTCATTTTTCCCGACCCTGATTTTTGTACGAATGCATGTATGACTCACCAGTCCCAAGAAGGTAAAATTAATCCTAAGTTAAAAAACTCAACATGAAAATTCTTATAATATTCTAAGTGATGTGGAACTTCTAGTTTAATGCAAAGGGAATTGAAAAAGTTCTAAATATGCT